ACCTGAACCGGTTCTGTAAGACCTGAACCGGTTCTGTAAGACCTGAGCGGTTCTGTAAGACCTGAACCGGTGACCCAGCACCCACAGACTCCACAACCTTTGACCCAAACCTGACACACACCTCTGAGTCATTATAATGAGAGAGTTTCCTCCATATTGTGACTTAGTATCTGGAAATAATGACTAAAGTCTCTCAATACTTTAAATTAAAGTATCACAGAGTCATTAGTTTAAACTCTCACATCTCAGATAAGAAGATAAATGCTGATTTTTGTAGATTTCTTTGCACAAAATGGCGAATAAATAACAAATAGATGAACATCAGCATCAAATATCGACCAAATACTCATTTTAAACTTAAGAATCGACCCAGAGTTCACACGATATTTGATTCAGTTGTGCTTTAGGTAAAACCTTTCCAACTAACGATGCGTCTTTGTTTTGCACTCGAGCAAACAGACGTTAAATCCACATATTTTTGAATGGAGTCTGGTTGGTGCAGCGTGCTGAAGCTGTGCTGTGTCCTGCAGGGGCTGGGAGGTGAGCCTGGTCCTGTACCCGTCCACAGCCGAGGACTCCGTCTCCCAGTTCGTCCGACTCACCCTGACCTTGACCCTCGACCAGCAGGTACGCTCTCCCCCTCCTCCCCCCCGCTGACTCCCCCTCTCACACTGAGTAAACTCTCTCTCTGCTTTGTGTTCTCAGTATCCGTCGTCTTCTCCGGCCATCTCCATCCACAACCCCCGAGGTCTCTCCGACGACAAGCTGAGCAGGTATCGAACCGACGGCGCTGCGATCACACTGCTGCTTTAACGCCTCCTGTAACCTCCTGTAATCATGTGTTTCTCTTAGTGTCCAGAAGTGTCTTCAGCTGGAGGCTCAGTCCTGTCTGGGTTCACCTGTGTTGTATCAGCTCATTGAGGTCAGTGCATAAAGAGTTTGATATATTTCATTAAAGAGAATCAGTGAGTTACTGCTTTCAGCTGTCGATCAGCTTTAACTCGTATTTCTAACTGTTCTTTTGGGTTTCTCCTTCCTCCAGAAAGCAAAAGAAATCCTGACTGAAAGCAACATTCCTCATGGAAACTGTGTCATCTGCCTGTACGGCTTTAAGGTTCGTCAGCTTTATGTCACCGTTCAAAGCCAAACTAACCCATTAATGGTGAATTTAAAGGAAAAGCCCAGCAGAGTGTTTTCTGTTAGAGGTGGAAACACAAGATCAACATTGCTTTCATTGGTTCACAGAGTGGATTTCTTTTTAAAAATGCATAAAAATCACAAAAGCTTTTGTTTAAATGAATGTAATAGTTAAATGTGAAGCACAAAGCACATTTTATTGAAACAGACTTTGTCCTGAATCCACATATGAACTGTGACTACCGACTGAAGTACGTTAACGCTGCAGCCTCGTACTCTGACCGACATACGCTGAACATTATAAACATTTCTGCCTTCAGCTGTGGAACAAGCTCCCTCTCATCAGAGGCAGTGTAGTGTTGGAAGCCCTCGCACTCAGTCGTTTGCATGACGCAGCAATAAATAAAAACATGATTCATCTGTGAGGCGATGATGTGTCTGTTGTGTTTCACACTCTGCTGCCCCCCTGTGGACAAACCAAGCACTGCACGCAGCATTAAACTGTAACTGTGTCTTCAGGAGGACGAGACGTTCACCAAGACGAGCTGCTACCACTACTTCCACTGCCACTGCCTCGGCCGCTACGTCCGCCACTCTGAGAGCGAGCTCCGGCAGAGAGAGAAGGAGCTGGAGGAGGACAAGACCAGAGACCGGACGGACGATCAGGTCAGAGCCGGTCACACAAATGTTCCTGCGTCTTTTTCCTTCAGCAGGATTTAAACCGCTGACTCTTCCCGTAGGAGCTGACTGTGGTGTGTCCGGTGTGCAGAGAGCCTCTAACGTACGACGCCGACCTGCTGCTGTCCTCCCCGGCGCCCCAGCTGCCCGAGGTAAACGACCTTCCTCTGACGGCATCGTTCTGGAGGTTTCACTGAATAAAACTCTCCTCGTCTTCCTCCCTCAGCTCGACGAAGCAGCGATCGGTTCGCAGTTCCAGCAGAAGTGGTTTGAACTCCAGAAGCTTCTGGAGAGGCAGAGGTCTAAAGGCGGGATCATCGACCCGGAGGAGGAGTCCAATCGTTTCCTCATCCACATCAACGAGGTGAGAATCCAACGGCTGCACATCGTAC